GTACATTCTCCATCAACTGAAAATTTTTATTTTTTGCAACTTGCCAAAACCATAATTAATTCTATTCGTCTATATCTAATAAACACCCTTGACTAACAAAAGTTTTTGTAATTTACCCTATATTTAAAAGCTTCAAATAATTTTATTTTTATTTTCTTAAGATAAACAATATTCTGTATTGGTTTCTAAGATTTTAGCGTGGCACTTTTCACTATTTTATAGTTCTATTTTTCAAAAATATTGCTTTTATGGATTTAAAATATATCTAGCATGTAAATTTGATGCTTATGTGATTAAAAAAAAAAAAAAAACCTATTTTAGTAATTAAGTTTGAAAGTATCTTGTAATAAGAAATAAATGGGATGTTGTAGAAGGTTTTTGCCGTGTAGTTAGGAGTGTGATTTCATTTCAAGTAGTTAAGTTGTCCCCACTGAATTATTGATATACGTGATGACTTGTTACTCTCATAAGACATTCATAAATGAATAAAAAAAAGATTACGTGAAAAAACTTTCAGAAATGAATAAAAAAAGGCAAAAAATTTCATGCGGTAAAACTAATTCGATAATGTCTTAAACAGTAAATCAATACAGAAAAAAAAAAAAAAAACAAATTGCAGAATAGACACGAAACACCAAAAACTAAATAAAAGTAAAAAAAATTTCTCTTGAAGTGCGTTTTCCTCTAGATTGGAAAATCTACTTTTTATCTAGCCAAATGCCCAAAAAAGTATAAGTCTCGAGAAATCTTTGCCTAATCACGTCCATTGGTCTATCGTGTGAAATATGGACAGGTATCAATGCTCCCAATCTAACGTATCAAACAAGCATTTTGAGACTCCACAATGCGAATTTCAAAGTTCTGGCTTTAGATTGTCACTTCACATTTGTTGACGGTTGGTCCAGTATACCATGGACCACGTTACACGACCATAGAGTAGAAATATGAAGTCTAACTTATCAAACAAGATATTTTTTAAAATAGAAAATCCATCCTTTTATATAAATCAAATTGTTGATACTTAAAGGGTGTTTGATAATCTAATTAAGTAGCTTAAAAAATTAAATTATATTACTTAATATAAAAATCTTGTTTGATAACTTAAATGATCTCATATTAAAACTTTAAGTTCAATTAAAATCTACTTAATCGGATAAGTTAAAATTTTTAACTTATCTGATTAAGTCAAACTATCTAAAACATACTCTCTCTCTCTCTTTCTCTCTCTCTCTCTCTCTATATATATATATATATTGAAAAATAAAATACTCATTTGAAAAGCATAAAAATAATTCATTATATAAATTATAATAATATATTTTAAAAAAATAAAACATCGACATTATAAAATTTTATTTCAAAATTCATATATTAAAAAATCAAATTTATTAACAAATAAAATGATATCAAAAATTAATTTGATGAGAATTTTAGTAAGAAAAAAATAATTGAAAAAAATAAATTTTAAACAATAAGAGTAATATAATCGGATATATATGTTCAAACTAAAATCTTAAAAAATTATCATATATATTCTATCATCTTCAAACATGCTTATTATATTCGATACTTAATTTTCGATAAATACCAAACGAACTTATCGGGAACATATTCGAGTCTTACATGATTCAGAGACTTAAAATTCAATACTCAATAAATTTTGTACTTAATTTTCAGTTTTATCAAACACCACCTTAAAGTGTTTGTTTATTCATATATATTATCTTCTAGAATATTTAAAAAAAAGATTACGTCAAAAAAATTTAATAAATGAAAAAAAAAAGATTACGTGAAAAAAACTTTCAGAAATGAATAAAAAAGGGTAACATGTTTTATATTTTAAAACTGATTCGATAATGTCATAAAGAGTAGATCAATACAGGAAAAAAAAAGTTACAGAATAACATGAAACACCAAAAGATAAATAAAATAAAATAAATTTCTCTTGACGTGCGTTTTCCTCTAAATTGGAAAGTCTACTTTTTACCTCGTCAAATGCCCAAAAAAGTATAACTCTCAATAAATCTTTGCCTAATCACATCCATTGGTCTATTGTGAGAAATATGGATAAGAATCAACGAGCCCAATCTAGCGTATCAGACAAGCATTTTGAGACTCCAAAATGCGAATTTCAAAGTTCTATTAGGAAAAAAGGAAAAAAAAACAAGACGAAGAACTTTTGAAAGAGAAAGATACTTCACATACATTCTCCATCAACTGGAAATTTTTATTTTCCGCAACTTGTCAAAACCATAATTAATTCTATTCGTCTATGTATAATAATTATAACTATATACCAAAACATGAATTCTGTCAAATATATATATATATAAACACCCTTGAATAACAAAAGTTTTTGTAATTTACCTATATTTAAAAGCTTCAAATAATTTTATTTTTATCTTTTATTTTTATTTTCTTAAGATAAACAATATTTTGTATTGGTTTCTAAGATCTTAGCGTGGCACTTTTCACTATTTTATAGTTCTATTTTTCAAAAATATTGCTTATATGGATTTAAAATATATCTAGCATGTAAATTTGATGCTTATGTGATTTTTTTAAAAAAAAACCCTATTTTAGTAATTAAGTTTGAAAGTATCTTGTCATAAGAAATAAATGGGATGTTGTGGAAGGTTTTTGCCGTGTAGTTAGGAGTATGATTTCACTTCATGTACTTAAGTTGTCCCCACTGAATTATTGATGTATGTGATGACTTGTTATTCTCATAAGACATGAATACTTATTTATGAAAACAAAGGGGGAAAATATTTTTGAAAATAGAAAATCCACCCTTTGAAATCATTCAAATTGTTGACACTTAAGAGTGTTTGTTTTTCCATATATATTATCTTCAAGAATATTTTAAAAAAGATTACATAAAAAAAATTAATAAATGAATAAAAAAAGATTACGTGAAAAAAATTTCAGAAATGAATAAAAAAAGATAACATGTTTTATGTTTTAAAAGTAATTCGATAATGTCTTAAAGAGTAAATCAATTCAGGAAAAAAAAAAGTTACAGAATATACATGAAACACCAAAAAATAAATAAAATAAAAAAATTTACCTCTTCAAATGCCCAAAAAAGTATAAGTCTCAAGAAATCTTTGCCTAATCACATCCATTTGTCTACTGTGAGAAATATGGGCAAGAATCAATGGTCCCAATCTAACGTATCAGACAAGGATTTTGAGGCTCCAGAATGCGAATTTCAAAGTTCTATCAGAAAAAGAGGGAAAAAAAACAAGACGAAGAACTTTCGAAAGAGAAAGATGCTTCACATACATTCTCCATCAACTGGAAATTTTTATTTTCCACAACTTGTCAAAACCATAATTAATTCCATTCATCTATGTATAATAATTATAACTATATACCAAAACATGAATTCTGTCAAATATATATATATATATATATATATAACAAAAGTTTTTGTAATTTACCCTATATTTAAAAGCTTCAAATAATTTTATTTTTATTTTCTTAAGATAAACAATATTTTGTATTGGTTTCTAAGATTTTAGCGTGGCACTTTTCACTATTTTATAGTTCTATTTTTCAAAAATATTGCTTATATGGAATTAAAATATATCTAGCATGTAAATTTGATGCTTATGTGATTAAAAAAAAACCCTATTTTAGTAATTAAGTTTGAAAGTATCTTGTCATAAGAAATAAATTTTAAAAGTATTTTTTTTTACAAAAAAAAACTTCTTTTTAACTTTTTGTTGGGGTTGAAACTAATCAGACAACAGCATGTTGGCTTGCTAGCTCTCCTAGACCTTTCCCCACCTATTTTTCACTTCTTATTAATAGAGTTTATGCACTTTAATTACCATTTTAGTATATCAATTTTTTCAAATTATACAAATCAAGTACTTTAGCCAAAAGTCTTAATCAGTTTTTCCATTTTTCTGTAGGCGTGGCAGTTGATTTTGACGAAAACTCTTCAATTTTGCAGCTTTTATCTAAAGAAAAGATTATTACATATTTGGTATGCAAAATTTTCAAAAAAACTTATTCGAATGTCCTCATTTTTATTTTTTATTTGAGTGTGCGAACTTTTATTTTTTTATTAAATGTTTTTGTAAGATTTATGGTATCTTGTCAATTTAATGCATTAAATTGACATGTCAGCATGCTTGATATGTGCACCACGTGAGTATGAATTTTTTACTTTATTTTTAATTAAGTGTGTGTGTTTTTATTTTTTCTATTTGAATATATCTATTTTTTTTTCAGTTGGAGTGTATATATTTTTGTTTTTTCTATGGAGTGCATGTAGTTTTAAAAATTTATTTATGATTGCTATTAATTTTAAAATCTAATGAATATAGACTTTGCAATCTTATGTAAGGTATATTTTAACCAAGTTAACTAAAATTAAAAATTAAAAAAATAAATAATAATAACAATCTATTCATTTTAAAAATAAAAATAAAAATAAAATATGACTTGTCGAATTTAAAAAACTCATATTACTCAATTTCCTTTTTGTTAGTTTTTTTTCCTTACTTAGTTAGTTATAGTGAACACAAATTTATTTATTTTTTGATTTTTTATAATTAAGTTCTTTTAATTTGAGTAAATTTTTATGTGTTTTGTTGTTTTAATTTTAATTAATTTGGTCCAAATATGATCTACATAAGATTGTAAAGTGGATATTTGTTAAATTTCAAAATAAATAGCACTAATTAATTATTTTTTAAAGTAAAAACGCTCAAATATAAAAAAATAAAAATATAAACACTCGATTAAAAATAAAAAAATATATATTTATATTTATATGATGGACAGGTCAACATGTTGACATGTCAATTTAATGACATAGTCATAATGACTATAATAGAAACACTTTATTAAAAAAAAAATTAAAATTTGCATACCAAATATATAATAATCTCAAAAAAATTCCTTCTGAAATGGTGTCATATTTAATAAATAAAAATTATTTTAAAATTAATTCAAATAAATTGGTTTATTTGGTGAAACAATAAATGGAAGAAACTATAAATATCACCTCATTAGAGAAGTTCGATCCATCCCATTACTCCATAGTCCACACCTTAGCTTTAACAAGGTATGATACTAGGAAGATCAATGAGTTCAATTCCCGTTACAATTCTTCTCCTTTCCTTGCTCCTTGTAGCAACCGTTAGTCTTGGCTTCAACTCTGGAAGCTTTACTGGAGGCCGTTGCTGCCGGATTGAGAGAGATGCACTTTTAAAGTTCAAGCATGATCTCAAAGACCCTTCAAACCGTCTTGCCTCTTGGGATGGTGTTGGAGATTGCTGTACATGGCGTGGAGTCATTTGTGACAATGTAACTGGCCATGTCATCGAGCTCCGCCTCAGAGGCCTTTCTTTCAAAGACTATCTTGCTTCAAGTGGTGCTTCCACTAACTATGATGATTATTTGAGGCTAATCTTCAGTGGTAAGATCAATCCTTCTCTGCTCAGCTTGAAACATATGAGGTACTTGGACCTGAGCGACAATGACTTCCAAGGAATTCAAATTCCCAAATTCTTTGGCTCGATGGGGAGCTTAAAACACCTTGACCTCTCTGATGCTGGATTTTCAGGTATGATTCCTTATCAATTAGGAAATCTCTCAAATCTCCATTACCTTAATCTCCATGATTATAATTCTCAGTTCAACGTTGAGAATTTAAATTGGCTTTCTGGACTTTCTTCACTAGAATTTCTTGATTTGAGTCTTGTGCCTCTCGGTAAGGTCCTTAATTGGTTGAAGGTGATAAGCACACTCCCTTCTTTGGTAGAATTACATTTGTCATACTGCCAACTTCCTTATGTTCCGTCAATTCTCAACGTTAACTTTTCATCCCTTTCCATCCTCGATTTATCATCCAATTATATTGATGAATCGGCAATTTCCATGAGAAACTTTCCTAGTTGGATCTCCCATCTTAAAACTCTTGTTTCTCTTAATCTGGCAAACAACAATTTCCAAGGTCCAATCCCGAATAATCTTCAAAACATGACGTTGCTTAGGGAACTTGATTTGTCTATCAATCACTTCTATTCTTCTATACCTGATTGGTTGTATGGTTTTGTCCATCTTAAGTTCCTTAACCTTCTATCCAACAACTTGCAAGGTGGTCTTTCACGTTCCATTCGAAACATGACCTCTCTGATTAGCCTTGACTTGTCATTAAATCCTAAACTCGAATTTGAAGGAGGAATTCCAGCATCATTCAAAAACCTTTGCAATTTGAGAATACTATCTTTGTCATACATTAAACTAAACCAAGATATGGCTGAGGTTCTTGAAATTCTATCAGGATGTGTTTCGGGAGAGCTCGAGTCATTAGACTTGGCTGGTTGTCTGTTATTTGGTCATTTGACCAATCATCTTGGACAATTTAAAAATCTAGCTTACCTTGATCTAAGGTCTAATTCGATTTCGGGTCCAATTCCAATGTCTTTACGAGATTTGGTTTCCTTAAGAAGTCTAGACCTTTCCGAAAACAAGTTGAATGGAACTCTTCCAAAATCTTTTGGGGAGCTTAGTAAGTTGGAAGAGGTAGATATTTCTCATAATTTGTTAGAGGGTGATGTTTTTGAAATTCACTTTGCAAATCTCAAAAATTTGAGCAACTTTTCTGCTACTGGAAACCAATTGAATTTGAGAGTTAGTCCTGATTGGATTCCTCCTCCACTTGTATTCTTAGATTTGAGATCTTGGAATATTGGATCCCAATTTCCCATGTGGCTTCGCCCGCTTAAGCATTTGTCATATTTGGATATATCCAACTCGAGTATTTCGGCTACTGTTCCTATTTGGTTCTGGACCATGTCGTTCCGATTGGAGTATTTAAATCTCTCTCACAATCACATTTATGGAGTGATTCCCAGTAAACTTAAGCTTGATTTTTCTGCTTCCTACCCTTTAGTCGACTTGAGTTCAAATCATTTCAAGGGTCCATTACCTCCTATATTCTCCAATGTGGGTGCGTTAGATCTCTCCAACAATTCATTTTCAGGTTCCATATTCAACTTCTTATGCCACAACATGGATGAGTTGAAGAATATGCAAGTTCTTAACCTTGGAGAAAATCTTTTAAATGGAGAGATACCAGATTGTTGGTTTAGCTGGCAATATTTGGTGGCGATAAAATTGAGCAACAATAAATTTAGCGGCAATATTCCTGACTCTATAGGAACTTTGAGCTTGCTCGAGTCATTGCACATTCGCAATAACAGCCTGTCAGGTAAACTACCGATATCATTGAAAAATTGTAATAAATTGATCACACTTGATATTGGAGAAAATGGATTAGTAGGAAGCATGCCAACATGGATTGGAAAGAGATTCTCCAAGATGGTTGTTCTAAACATGCGAGCAAATAAGTTTTATGGCCATATACCAAAGGAGCTTTGCAATTTAGCTTCTTTGCAAATCTTGGATCTTGCTCACAATCACCTCTCGGGGAGCATACCAACGTGTTTCAATAATTTCAGTGCCATGGTTACAAGAAATGATTCTCTTGGAAAAATTTATCTGGATAGTGGATCGTCAACTTTTGACAATGTGCTTCTCGTGATGAAAGGAAAAGTCGTCGAGTATAGCACTATTCTTAAATTCGTAAGGAGTATAGACCTTTCCAGTAATACTTTACGTGGGAAGATTCCTAAGGAAGTTACATGTCTCGGTGAATTACAATCTTTGAATTTATCACAAAATTTCTTGACAGGACAAATTCCTGAGGATATAGGTTCCATGAGATATTTGGAATCTGTTGATTTTTCTATAAACCAACTTTCAGGCAAAATCCCTCAAAGCATGTCAGATTTGACGTTTCTCAGTCATCTCAACTTATCTGACAACAAATTATGGGGGAAAATTCCTTTAGGAACTCAATTACAAAGCTTTGGTTCGTCTAGTTTCAGTGGCAACGAACTTTGTGGACCTCCGCTCCCCAAGAATTGCAGCGTGGATAATAAGATTGATGTTGAGCATGAAATGAAAGAAGATGACGGTGGACCCAAGGGTATTTGGTTCTATGCAAGCATGGCACTTGGTTTCATTGTGGGTTTCTGGGCTGTCGTCGGTCCTATATTGTTCAATAGACGGTGGAGATATGTCTATTTTGGTTTCTTAGATAGAGTGAGAGACCAAATTTGGTGGTATTAATTTTATGTAAACCTTATAATATTTGTATTAAATTAGAAGTTGCAGACACGTCTATATGTATTATTAGTGTTGTGTAAACTAAGTATGAATATGTGTTTTGATATTTTCTGTATTATCTAGATGGTAACTATTTTGTAATTTTGTAAATTTTATTTTACATAATAAAAGTTTAAGTCGGACTTAGTCCCATGGTTTTTCCCCTCTGCATTAAAGGGTTTTCCATGTAAAATTGATGATTTTATTTTACTATTAGCATTGATGGTTGATTTGTTAAGTTGTGACTGGCTTGATAATCCAATAAATGGTGAGCTTGAAATATGCATCATGTATTCAATGTAAGCAAATTATGGTCACAAGAAATAACAAATTAGTTTGAAGTAAGAGGGGTAGATTGATTGTTTAGAGTCAGTTACTTTTGGTCATTCCCACTTCTATTCAAAGTTCTTTTCATTATTACAAACCTTTTCTTTGGCAGAAGTAGATAATGTGAAAAGGGGACTAAGATCCTTTGGTTAAACTTTATTAATTTGATTGAGGCTCTAAGAAGAAAACTCTTTTTGGCTCCAACTAGCATTTAATTACTTAATGAGTGGATAGAGGTTTTTGATTTTTTTTTTTTTTTTTATATATAGGTAGTGAATTTTTTTTATCATAATTTGCATTGATGGATCAAGATTAAATTCATTATTTTGTAAAATAGATCAATATCAGATTATACCAAGTTTTAAATTGATTCTAAACACTGAACTATTTGAACATATATCAATCCACGTCAAGTAGCAGATAAAGAGAGAGAGAGAGAGAGAGAGAGAGAAATTTTCCAATGATGAAAATCAAATCCCCCACACAAATGAAAAATACATCTTTTTACCATTCCATCAATATTTGTCGATTCTTTATTCAAAACTTAGGGAAATAAACTCTGCTTTAAAATATTAATAACGATAGTGAAAAAACAGTATTATCTCCTATCCAATTTATTCAGTCACTCCCTTAAAAAAGAAATGTATTCAATCACTCCAATCAATACAAATATGAGGATGGTCAAGACCATACTCTTCTTTTTCTATGCTCTCACGGCTTCACTTTAAAGAGTTCTCAATGTCAATAACAAATCGGTACTTGATATCCCCCTTTAACATCCTCTCGAAAGCTTCATAAGCATATTCAATTGGTATTACTTCAATCTCCGGATATATTTTGTTGGCACCACAAAACTCCAACATTTCTTGTGTCAATTTCGTCCCACCAGTAAAACTTCCAGTAATAGATCTCATACCTGGTACAATCCAATGCAAGCATTAATTGCAGTAATATATATAATTTTCACAATCATTAAAAATAGGAAATGAAGTACTAAAATACCTGTAAAAAGACTCAGAGGATCGAGTCTAACTTCTTTTGGATAGCCCACCAAGACCAAGATGCCATTAGTCTTCAAGAGGGACATGTATGGATCAAATGGTGGATTCCCTGATGCTGAGTCAATTAGGAAGTCCAAAGATCGAGACAAGGCCTGTTGGCCAAAAAGTACTGGTTATTAATGAAATCTAGAATCCCAACATTACTTCAAAGAGTACTCTGCTGTGAAACATTTTTAACAGGGTTTTTTACCTTCATTTCTTCTTCCTCAGTTGAGACAACAAATTTGTCAGCTCCAAGGACATTCAAGGCTTCCTCTTTCTTGGATATACTTGTACTGAAAACTGTTACATTTAGTCCAAAAGCTTTGCCAAACTTCACTGCCATGTGACCAAGGCCTCCTAGCCCAATCACCCCTAGAGATTTACCAGGTTGGTTCATCTTGTGGTGAATCATGGGAGTGTAATCAGTAATTCCTGAACAAAGTAAAGGTGCTGCTAGAGCTAACGGGTAGTTATCAGGTATCTTATAGCAGTAACTGGTCAAGAAAGTATTAGTCATCAGCAGGGAAGGATCGTAAGGTTGACAGAAAAGCAATTTATGTACTGGTATTTTATTTTACATGCTCGCAACCTTTCATGAACAACAATGAAACTTGAGTATCCTCCTTTTGTGATTGTACCATCTACATCAACAGCATTAATTGTGGGAACCAGTCCACTTGGGCGCTGCACTTCTAGTCCTCCATTACATTCATCACAATTTCTGCATGAATTAATATATGTTCCAACTCCAATGGGGTCACCGATTTTGAACCGGTGGACATGGGAGCCAACTTCTTGCACGATTCCAACAATCTCATGTCTATAAGATGCAAAAACCATGAAGAAATTAACAATACTAAAAGAGACAAAATAAATAAATAAATAAAATTAAACCTACATTACAGTATGTCATTTTAATTGTAAACGTGAACTGCATACCCTGGAACTACAGGATATTTTGAGTCTCCGTACGTGTTTGTTCCTGGTATAAATTACATCACCATAACATATTCCGCAGTGTGTAATCTTCACTGAAATGTCATCAGCACCGGTAACCCTGCATAAATTTCTTCAACATCAACAACTGGATTTTGAATTTATTTCAGCCATTCAGAGTAGAAGTTTAAAAAAGCGAGTTAGTTTCAGTTATAATGGGAGGACTTTTGTTAGCATGCGTTCCTTCGCTTAAAATGGTAACGTGATAGAACTCCAGAAGCATCTCTTGCTGCCCACCCAAGGCAGTCCTTTCCTTCTTGAAATGAACTCATTTAAACTAATTATGATCTGCTCCACAATAAAATTAATTAAGAAGATTAAGGAGACAAATAATTATGAAAAAATAAACAAGTTCTGGATCATGATTTTAATTAATGTTACACCGCTTGAAACTGCAGCAGAGTTTTATAAAACATGTACAGGTTGGTTATCAGCTAGCCCTTGAATCAATTTGCAAACTGCAATATTAGCATGTAAATCCCTACAAGGTTAAGGGATTGAGCTTGTACGTGGGATCTGATGAAAAATATTTAAAGAGGGCTGCAAACATATAGAACTTTTGGATTAATAAATATCTTGCTAGGTGTAGTTCACATGAATACAAGAACATGGTAACCGACGATTCAAGTTCCAGATAATTCTGAAGAAATCAAGAAAAGCATAATTTAAACTCTGCAGCAAAAAAAAAAAAAAAAGAGTGGGATACGCTAGAAATAAACTTGCCTGAGAATGGCTTGGGAGTTGGAATACCAGTGGTTTATGGGGCTGAAGATGTGGGGTGCGTATGAGTTGTTTAGTTTATATAGCCATCCAGCACCCTATCAGAGGAAGGAGCGAGTCAATGTACAGTATCAGGAAATACAAAATAGTGTTGAAATCATTTTGACTGGACTAGAATGGAAAATTCCTTTGTTAAAAAACAGCGGACCATTCCTCGACTGTTGAACAATGTTGAAATTAATAAAATTTGTTTCCATGTAACATTCATTTGTTTTGCTAAACATCAGGACTATCTTACATACAGCGTGACGTGAAACTCAGCAATGAAGCATTCTCTTATCTTTATTTTTCCTTGGGGTGATGATTGGAGAGTTTATCATGTATTTAGTATATAAAGTTTTAAATTTTTTCCATTTGAGTGTTTAATTTTTTTTTAATTATGTTAACTTATAATTTTTTTTATTTAAAATGGTACTGTTAACTTTCATTAAATTTATTTTGATGTGTGCTTTACTGTTATGTAAACCCTTTGGTCAAACACGTTGAAAAACGAAATAAAAATGAAAAAAAACAAAAACAAAAACAAAAATAATGCTTTTGGAGGGAATTTCCTTCCTCCGCCAAATCCCTCCTCTCCTCCCAACGTCTCCTTCTCCTCTCTCCCTGTCAAACCCAACCATCTCCACCAGAAAATTCTCCACTGTCTCCGCCACCGTTTCAGTCGGGGACAACTCCCACCCTCTCCTACTCCTACTTTGACTCCAAAGGAGAACTCTAAACCACCACAATCTCCTCCCTTACATCCGGTAAAAAATCAACCCTCTTCGCCGTCCCAGGCTCCCTCACACCAACATGCTCTCAAAAACTCCATTCAGGTTTCATGGAGATCTACAGAGCTAAAGTCAAAAAGGGTTGACACAATCACGTGTTGGAAAAATAAACTTGATTTTAGAGTTTTATTTAAGAAGTCTTTTAGTATTTTGTGAAACTTTATAAGAAGTTTATGTTCAATGTATTTTGGTATTTTCAAGAGCCAAGTTGCTGTTATATATATATTTGTGTAAGTCTTTATGATATGAAAAAAAAGGGTGAGCAGAATTTCAGATTATCAAAGCCTCTTCCAACAGTGGTATTAGAGCTCTTTTTGTGAGAGGGAAAAATGATGAATGGAGGCATGTTCCCCTTCCAATTCCTAAAACTTACCAAAGAAAATTATGACAATTGGTGTATCCGGATGAAAGCTCTATTAGGATCACAAGATGCGTGGGAGATTGTTGAAAAGGGTGTTGAGCAACTTGGAGATGAAGAAGCATTGGCTCCAGCAGAGAAGGAGGCTTTGCAAAAGATGCAAAAAAAGATCAGCAGGCCTTGACGTTGATTCATATGTGTTTGGATGAAATCATGTTTAAGAAAGTTTCGAGTGCTTCCATTACCAAGCAAGCATGAGAGATTTTGCAGAATTCTTTTAAGGGAGTTGATAAGGTGATTAGGCTCCGACTTCAGACCTTGAGGGCTGAGTTTGAATCTCTCAAGATGAAAAATTCTGAATCAATTTCAGATTATTTCACTAAAGTGTTGGCTGTTGTTAATCAATTAAGGAGATATGGTGAAAGGTTGGAAGAAGTTCGTGTAGTTGAGAAGATTTTAAGGTCCCTTAACTCAAAATTTGAATATTTTATTGTTGCTACTGAGGAATCAAAAGATATAGAAAATATGTCAGTTGATCAACTCATGGGATCTTTGCAAGCTCGAGAAGAAAGGATGAATGAGAAAGAGCCACAAGCTCAAGTTCTTCTTTCAAAACTTTCTTTGAAAGAAAAACATGAAGGGAATGAAGCTGAGCAAGAAAGAAGAGGAAGAGGAAGAGGTAGAAGCCGAGGTCCTGTTCGTGGTGGTTATCGTGGCCGTGGAAGAGAAAGGTTTGAAAAAAGACCATATGAGTTTGCACATTCAGATCAGAAATGAGGCTCGAAGGGATATAGTAGAGGAAATAGCTACAGAAGAGTACCTGAAGCTAATGTGCGATGCTATAATTGTGAGAAGATGGGCATTATGCTTCAGAATGTCAAAATGCAGTTATCATGGTTGAAAGGTTTTTTGTGCAAAAGGAGAAGAAGATGAAGAACCTGCTTTATTATTAACATGTGCTACTGGTGAAGAGAAGGATCATGAAGCATGGTTTTGGATACAGGAGCAAGCAATCATGTGATGGGTAAGAAGCATCTGTTTGTTAAACTAGATGAATCTGTGAAAGGAAGTATTTCTTTTGGTGATACTACAAAAGTAGCCATCCAAGGGAGAGGCGATATTCTTATTCAAACAAAAGGTGGGGCAGATCAACTTATTTCTCAAGTCTATTATGTACCGGATTTGAAATCAAATATTGTGAGTTTGGGGCAACTGTTGGAGAAAGGATATGAGATAAACTTGAAAAATCATGCACTTACAATAAGGGACAGCAAAGGCAACTTGATTGCAAATGTGAGAATGTCCAAGAACAGAATGTTTACACTCAAAATTCAGTCAGATTGCATCAGATGTCTAAAGTCTAGCACATCATCGTATTCCTGGCTTTGGCATTTGCGGATGGGTCATTTGAATTTCAATAGTTTGAAGTTATTGGCAGAGAAGAAAATGGTTCGTGGATTGCCTTTTATTGATCATCCTCATCAACTGTGTGAAGGTTGCGTCTATGGCAAGCAGTTCAGAAGTAGCTTTCCAAAGGCGTCTTGTTCAAGAGCTTCAAAGCCACTCCAATTGGTGCATGCTGATATTTGTGGACCCATTAATCCACCTTCTTTTAGTAAGAATAAATATTTTTTATTGTTTATTGATGACTACAGTCGCAAAACATGGGTGTATTTCTTGAAGGAGAAATCGGAGGCCTTTGACACATTCAAGAAATTTAAAGTGCTGGTGGAGAAACAAAGTGGCTATTTTATACGAGCTTTGAGAACTGATATAGGGGGAGAATTTACTTCAACTCAGTTCAATGATTTTTGTGAATCCCATGGCATTCGGCGTTTTCTGACAGTTCCAAGATCACCTCAGCAAAATGGCGTTATGGAGTGCAAAAACAGAACCATCCTTGACATGGCTCGAAGTATGTTGAAGAGCAAGCATATGCCTAAGGAATTTTGGGCAGAAACAGTAGCCTGTGTTGTTTATTTGTCAAATCATTGTCCAACGTGAAGTCTGTCTCAATGTACTCCGTAAGAAACTTGGAGTGGATGGAAGCCGGATCTCTCTCATTTAAGAGTATTTGGTAGTATAGCTTATTCTCATGTTGCAGACGAGACAAGAACTAAATTAAATGACAAGAGTGAGAAGCTTATATTTGTGGGATATGACTCAAAGTCCAAAGGCTACAAGCTTTACAATCCAGTAAGCAAAAAGACAATTGTTAGCCGAGATGTGAAGTTTGATGAAGATGATTTCTGGAAGTGGGAAAATCGAGGTGAAGATTATAATTTCTTTCCACTATTTGATAGTCATTCTGATCAAAGGAAGAATTGAAGAGCAGATTTTGACACCACCTGAAACTCCAGCCCAAGCTCATAACGTTTTGACTCCTCAAAGATCCTCTGAAAGACCACGAAGGATGAAGAGTCTGCAAGATATTTATGCAGAGACTGAAGAAATTAATGATTTAGCTCTTTATTGTTTGTTTGCAGATTCAGAGCCTATAAATTTTGAGGAAGCAATACAAGAAGAAAAATGGAGAAATGCGATGAATGAAGAAATGCCAGCAATTCAGAAAAATGACACATGGGAGTTATCAACTCTTCTAGCAGGGAAACAAGCTATAGGAGTGAAGTGGATTTACAAAGTCAAGAAAAATGAAAAAGGAGAGGTGGAGAAGTACAAAGCTCGACTTGTTGCAAGAGGATTCAGCCAAGAGCCCAATATTGACTATGATGAAGTTCTTGGCACCAGTTGCTCGTTTGGAGACAATCCGCTTGATCATTGCATTAGCAGCTCAACACAACTGAAGAATTTTTCAGATGGATGTAAAATCAGCTTTTTTGAATGGACACTTAGAAGAAGAGGTGTATGTTAAACAACCATTAGACTACATTGTTAAAGGGCAGGAGAACAAAGTCTTAAAGCTGAAGAAGGCACTGCGTGGATTAAAGCAGGCTCCAAGGGCTTGGAACAGCCGAATTGATGATTGTTTTCAGAAGAAAGGATTCACAAAGCGTCCTCATGAATATGGCCTTTATGTTAAGGTAAAGGAAAATTGAAAATATGTTGATTGGATGTTTGTTCGTTGATGATCTGATCTTTACAGGAAATAGTCCATTGATGATTGAAGAATTTAAAAAGGAGATGGCTGAAGAATTTGATATGACTGATATCGGGCTTATGTCATACTATCTTGGGATTGAAGTGAAGCAATCTGATGAAGGTATTTTTGGTTCTCAAAAGAGTTATGCAGAAAAAATTGTGAAAGAGTTCACTATGGAAAATTGTCAATCTATAGCTACGCCTGTTGAATGTGGCACCAAGCTGACAAGATACGATAACAGTGAAAAGGTAAATCCAACTTTGT